GGAGGGGGCTTTGGTAGAATTTTTCAGTAATTGTTAGTAGTAATATAGAGGCCGTTCGACCCTTATTTTTGAGGAGGAGTGAGGAGGAGTGAAGAGGAGTGAGGGGAGTGAGGAGGAATGAGGAGGAGGAGTGATGAGGAGGGGCAGGGGAAGGGTGGTGTGCGGTGGTGGAGTGTGAAGCTTGAGGTGGTGGAGTTTGAAGTGGTGGGGTTTGAGGTGGAGGGGTTTGAGGTGGTGAGTGTCCACCACCTCATTTATAATTAATACTCGTACAAGTGAGGGTGCGTAGTGACGTCACTCATTAACATACATCATAATTATATGCAATGACGTCACGCGGGCAAGTTTAAACAAGGACGTGTGAAACTTGCTGACTACGCATTTTTTAGCGTCCCGCACGTGTGTGGTACAATAGTTAGGGCTATATACAAGAGAATATGTTGTTGTCTGGAGTTTTATAAGTACAGCTATAGCATTTTGCTGTTATTCCTTTAATTTAGCTCCTAGAGGAGCAAAAAATCTGATACTATATGAAATAGCATTAGTGTTATATATCTAAAACTTATATATTCGGGGTATACAGCTATATGTTTTGTTGTTAAGTAATATATAAATATTATCAAGCGTCAAAACGCTGAGAAATAGCATGCGGTAAGAGTTATTATGTATCTACAATTAAACTAATATTTAAATCCCGGTCTGCCATATGAGGTCTATATACGAGAGAATATGTTGTTGTCTAGAGTTATATAAACACATGGAAATTAGAGGTTATGATATATAATTGTCAAGCGATTTCTATATTTTATTGCTAGTTTTTTAAAGTACTAAAAGTCGGATAAGGTTAATAAATTTAAGCTATATTAAAGCACACCGGTTGCTATGTGTTGTTAGGGTGACACTAATTAAAGGATTAACTTTTATCAGAGATTTGCATTTTTCTACTGTGTGGATAAATACGGGTAGATTAGGATATTCATTGCGCGGGCGTCGCGGGTTATCCGTGCGGGAAGAGAGAAAGCGATTTAGACAAGACAGGAGCGCTTTGCAGCCAAAAGTTTACACAAGAATTCAGTCTTAAAATACATTTATTTCTTCGAGACGTTTACAAAGTTAATGTGGTCTATTTCTTAAGCATAATGTGTTTGATTTTATTTAAATTACGCAGAACAATTTAATTTTTTTTTGTAATAAGAGTCGTTTGGTTTAATTATTCATTCGCCATGGTTTCTTTAATTATTCATTCGCCATGGTTTCGTTCGGACCGTTGGCTCGTCTTCGTGCAGATTCACCCACTTCATACGACCCGATTGGCTCATTATTTTGACAGGCCAATAATTTTCTCCGCCGATGTAGACACCTGGATGGCTAGGATTAAAAATATTGCATTGCGCGATGACTTATACATCTCTGTGATAACATATCCTTCGGGAATGTTACGGACAACCTGTGCTTCCTTGGTGTAGTTTTGCCATTCGGAGATAGTTTTATCCGACCAGGTGATATGCCTCTGATGTTTAGGTTGTTTCCTTCTAGGTTTGGTTTCGACCGGTGTGGGCTCGATACTAGTACTGTTCACTTTAGTTTGAGTGGCGGAGAGATAAACACGGCAGTCGCCAAACAGGTCCCCAAGAACTTGCTTATCTGCTGGTGTATCAGGCTTGTTATCCACCAACAAGTATCCAAACGGTTTTTCAGTCTCTTTGTAATAGGCGTTCATAAAGTGGACTCTATTCTTATCAAACATTCGTTCTCCAACAATTCCAATTTGTTTCATATCACTAGGACTTCGGAAGAGAGAAACGTGTCGTACGGTGAGTACGGACGTTCATTTTGAGCTCCTGATGTTATATAAAAAAAATGTCAAAGGATACTATAAAGTCATTAAAGAAACAAAATAATGAGCTAAAAGCTGAAAACGAATGTATAAGAAAAGACTTTAAGAAGTTCGAACAAGACGCTAAAATATCTGAAGCCAGATCTACCCAAAATGACGACAGTGGCTCGACGCCAGATAAAGAAACGCTAAAAAGTCTGGAGTATTTGAACAACGAATACGACGATGTACGCCGCTCTCAGAGTTATGCTATACAAAGATTCTCCAAATTCGAGTCTCGGCTGAACGTCTTGGAAGAGAAGGTCGAAGGCTTATCAAAATCTATTGTCGAAATGGAAGAATATAGTTATGCATACAACGTTAAACTGGTGGGAATACCTGAACATAACCCGAAGGAAACTGCAATGGAAACAAGCGCGTTGTGTGTTAAAATATTCAACGCTATGGGAGCTGAAGTATCGATATCGGACATAGATATTGCACATCGTGTTAAACCGAGAAGAAATAATGGCGGCCGAGCAAAACCGATTGTTTGTAAATTTGTACGACGGTTGGCACGTGAACAAGTCATGGCAGTGAGACGAAAAATGCGAAGTGTTGACCCAAGACAGGTTAATCTACCTCCAGAAACTTCTCTAAATCAAGAAGGAGTCTATGATCATTTAACCCCTAGACGCCAGAAGCTTTTCGCGGATGCTAAAAGTTTTAAAGTGAACAATAACTTCAAGTTTTGCTGGACAAAGAACGCTATGATTTACTTACGAAAGTCTGATGATTCACCCCCAATCAAAGTTAATGACCAACGTGATTTGGAGTTGCTAACTAATAGCAGTACTGAGTGAATCTTAATTAACAGCTGAGTAGTTTTCTTTATTGCATAGTTTCTTAATTTATTCTTAATTGCTATACGCATGAATCTAAAAGAACAAAAGAGAGCAAACAAGGCTCTTCTTCGTGAACTTCCATTTTTCGAACTTTGGCCTGCCCAATTTAATAACCTGTTTAGTAATGTGAACTCCTTGCCAACAAAGCGAGACCTTGAACGATTATCAAGTATCTATGATCTAGATCTCTTTAGTTTAAATCTCTTGCATGATAACAGATCTAACTATAATGACCCGACAAATATGCATGCACCCCGTTGCAAATATTATTCGCCCCATGGTTTTTCTCAGCTTAAAGCAAAATTTACTAAATCTCATAATAATATATCCATATTGCATAATATAAGAAGCCTGAAGAGAAATTTGGAGAGCTTTCAAACACATCTTCTCGAGGAATTAGGTCATCATTTTGATATTATTGGAGTTACTGAAACGAGAATAAATCAACATAAAATTGTTGACTTTAACCCTACAATTCCAAAATATAACTTTGAATTTGTACCCACGCCATTAGCAGCCGGAGGAGTCGGTATGTATATAAATAGCTTAATGAACTATAAAATACTTGAAAAAAGCTCTACAAACTCTTTTCAAGCTCTTTGGATCGAAATTCTGATGTCGAAGGGTGCAAACAATACATGCGGAGTTATCTACAGACAGCACAATTCGCCGGACAATTTCTTAAACTATTTTGAAGAAACTATTGAAAAATTGAATGCGTCTGGAAAACCGATCTATTTAATGGGTGATTTTAATATAAATCTTCTTCGCTCTGAAACATGTAACTATGCCCAAAATTTTTTTCTTTCTCTACAAAGCTTTAATTTGATGCCTACTATTGACAAACCAACACGCGTTCATAACAACTCGGCTACATTAATAGACAACATTTTTGTGAATCAATTAGGGAACAGTGTAACAAGTGGCAACATTGTCTCTGACATTAGTGAACATTATTCACAATTTTTTATCACTCACTTAAAAACAAGATTTAAAAGCATTTCCTCGAACAAGCAGTTGGTTCGGGATTATTCCAAGTTTTCTGAGACTAATTTTCTCAATGACCTATATTGCTCGAGACTGGATCATGTTGTGGAATCAAATCAAAATGATATAAATGAAACTTTTTCAAATTTCTACAATAAATTGAACAAAACAATAAATCATCATGCTCCCTTAAAGCGAATATCAAAAAGAAGAGAAAAGCAACTAAAAAAAAACATGGATAACCAATGGTATTAGAAAAGCAATTAAAATTAAAAATCAACTACTTTATCAAGGTAATACAAGCAGATATAAATTCTATAGAAACAAAATTCAGACACTTACTCGTGTAAGTGAAGGACAATATTATCAGAGATATTTTGAAAACAACTTCAGCAGCATCAAAAAGACCTGGGAGGGTATAAATGAATTAATAAACCGGAAAAAGAAATCAAATAAAGCTATCACATGTTTACAATGTCCATTAAGCAATAGAATGACATATAATGAACGCGAATTCCCTGATATTTTCAATAAGCACTTTGCAACAGTGGGTAACAACCTAGCTAGCAAAATGCCAAATTCCCAAACTCCATTTATACATTATCTTCCTAATAATCACAATTCATCTTCGTTTGTATTTACTCCAATTTTACGCCATGAAATTGAAGAAGAAATAATGTCAATACCTATGAAAAAAGCCCATGCATAGCCTCTATTCTTGTCCAATTCGTATATTAAAATGTGCTAGACACATCTTATCCGAACCATTGGCTGAATTAATGAATAAATCGGTCGTTGGTGGGAAATACCCAGCTAAGCTAAAACATTCAAAAGTCATTCCTATCTACAAAAAGGATGAAGAATCTGATCCTACGAATTATAGATCAATATCTCTTTTATCGATTTTCAATAAAATTTTTGAGAAATTGATGTATAAACGCCTGAAATCGTTCCTTGAGAAACGCAATATTTTATTTAATTCACAATATGGTTTTCGGGAGAACCATTTAACCCAGCACTTAATTCTACAGGGTGTATCAAAAAAAGCGCAATCCTCGACTGAAATGTAAATTGCTAAACAAATAATAGACGAAAACGTTAAAGTTTACATTCATTTTAAAGCTTAGCCATTCAGCTTTCTAACAGTGAGTTGCTTCTTAAATTTGACTCATTGGTTCGCGGGTAATAATACTTTACGTTATTGTGATTGGAGATTAAAAAAATTGAGATGGAATAAGAAATCGTTCTCATGAAAATAACTGATTTTTTCATTAAAACAAAAAAATGTTGCATTTTAATCAATGGATTGTAACAATAAGTATAATTACGGCTTTTCTTCCACTATTTTTTAACACAGTTTGAAACTTCAAATGCGATATAATTTTGGCTTGGACCATCTAAGCTGACTGACATCAGCTTGCTATAATTTCTGTTTACATTACATCGCAATTCGATGACACTCTGGCTCAGACACCAGAATGTTTTGATTCTATGATTTTTAGCATTCGTTTAGGATTTTCAAACAACCTAGTCTCTTTTAAAATACTTTAATTTGTTCTTACGTGGTTTTCCAGATGTAGTGACGACAACATTAAAGTTTAAAGAAGAAAATTCTAACATTTAAACCGACTAAACAATAACATAGTAAACTTGCATAATTAAACAGCAACTAAAAATGATAGGTTTTACCAAATCTTTTCCTGTGCAATTATTACTAGCATTGGAGACAAGGATAATAGTTTGTTT